CAAATCATCTCAGGTTTATATGCTTCTGGAACTTTAATCAGAAAATACATTTTCAAAGATTTTATTCTCTGGCTTGATTGTGAATGCAGGAATTCAGAGCTATGTTACTCTGTGGTAATAGCTACAATACGGCATATTTCTGTTTCCTGACTGGCTGAGGGCGCCAGAATTTCTTTCCTGTAGATACCCCTCAGAATTACAGGACTATCTGCATCTCTGCCCCATCTCTGGTTTCCGATTTCCCAGTGTCAGGACTTGTACCCTGCCCTCTCATGGGCTGGAATCCCAGGATTCTCCCAGCCTTGGACTGGATCCTGGGCTACAGCACACTGTGTGTCAACTGCGGATAGAGCACATCCAAGAAGGTTTGGCACCTGTGGTTCTTTTGTCTGGGAATCTGGGAGCAGTGATGAGACGAGTGACCAGCCTTCTTGAACCAAAATACTGTTTAACCTGAACAGCAGGGAAAAAGACTAACATGGGAGAAGAAGGGAGTTTTCAGCCAACAGTCTGTACACATCTCTGTCCCTGAGCCCTCCCACTTTGACGAAGACCCAGGCAGGCCAAAAGCTGACAGACTTTCCCAGATGTCTCTGTGTCTGTCAATCTGAAGAGCTTCTCAGCAACAGCTGCCCGACCTCTGGACAGACTCCCAGCGCTAGCAAAACAAGCTGTGTAACGTGGCTGGAGCCCAGAAATAGGCTCTTCCCAGCTAGTAGCTCCGGTGTTGTCTTTCAACCTCCCTGAAGTGCTTATTGAGAGATGGCTTTTCTTGAGTTGTTCCTTCTTGCCCTGCTTGTTTTCCAGCAGCCTGAGATTAAACTAAGAACCAGATTGAGTTAAACCAATATAGCCATCGCATAAACATCCCAATTGTTAACCCAATATAGCTCTAAAGGAAACATCCAAGAATTGGGTTTAACACACACACTCATTATGGCAGCACCGCCCCACGTCTGACCCAATGCCATTCCCAGGTGCTACGGATTTTATGAATACAGGACAGAGACTGTCAAAGAGAGAGAAACAACAAGAAGTCCGGTGGCACCTTAAACACTAACAGATTCCTTCCCGACTCCTTAGGTTTTTTTGTGGATACAGATTAACACAGCTACTCCCTGATATCAGAGAGAGAGAGAGAACAATAGACTACTGTCATAAATATAAAGGGAAGGGTAAACCCCTTTAAAGTCCCTCCTGGTCAGAGGAAAAATCCTCTCACCTGTAAAGGGTGAAGAAGCTAAAGGTAACCTCGCTGGCACCTGACCAAAATGACCAATGAAGAGACAAGATACTTTCAAAAGCTGGGAGGAGGGGAAAAACAAAGGGTCTGGGGCTGTCTGTATGATGCTTTTGCCAGGGACAGAACAGGAATGGAGTCTTAGAACTTAGTAAGTAATCTAGCTAGGTATGTGTTAGTTTATGATTTCTTTAAATGGCTGAGAAAATAACTGTGCTGAATAGGATGAATATTCCTGTCTGTGTGTCTTTTTTGTAACTTAAGGTTTTGCCTAGAGGGGTTCTCTATGTTTTGAATCTAATTACCCTGTAATGTATCTACCATACTGATTTTACAGAGGTGATTCTTTTTTTTTCTTCTATTAAAAGTCTTCTTGTAAGGAAACTGAATGCTTTTTCATTGTTTTCAGATCCAAGGGTTTGGGTGTGTGGTCACCTATGCAAATTGGTGAGGATTTTTACCAAACCTTCTCCAGGAAGTGGGGTGCAAGGGTTGGGAGGATTTTCGGGGGACAGACATGTCCAAACTACGTTTTCTCAGGAACCCAGATAAAGTTTGGTGGTGGCAGTGGAAGTCCAGGGGCAAAGGGTAAAATAATTTGTACCTTGGGGAAGTTTTAACCTAATCTGGTAAAAGTAAGTTTAGGAGGTTTTCATGCAGGTCCCCACATCTGTACCCTAGAGTTCAGAGTGGGGAAGGAACCTTGACAACTACTTTAATGTGTGAAATGAAGTTCCATTTCCATGAATGAGGAGAGGCTGAGGGAGCTGGGATTGTTTAGCCTGCAGAAGAGAAGAATGAGGGGGGATTTGATAGCTGCTTTCAACTACCTAAAAGGGGGTTCCAAAGAGGATGGCTCTAGACTGTTCTCAATTGTAGCAGATGACAGAACGAGGAGTAATGGTCTCAAGTTGCAGTGGGGGAGGTTTAGATTGGATATTAGGAAAAACTTTTTCACTAAGAGGGTGGTGAAACACTGGAATGCGTTACCTAGGGAGGTGGTAGAATCTCCTTCCTTAGAGGTTTTTAAGGTCAGGCTTGACAAAGCCCTGGCTGGGATGATTTAACTGGGAATTGGTCCTGCTTTGAGCAGGGGGTTGGACTAGATGACCTTCTGGGGTCCCTTCCAACCCTGATATCTATGATTCTATGAATACTCATGCATTTGACTTTGAAATCCACTTCCTTCAAACCCTCATGGTGGCTGAATAACAGGTGCTGGGGATACTATGTACTAGAGAGTGAGAGCTCAGGGAATGAATATTTTCTATACTGACCCCAATGATTTTTACCACTCCCGATATAGACTACAGACCTACAGAACAGAACCTGAGGTGCAAAGGTCAGCTTTAAACCCAGGGAGAGAAGAGCTTCTTTACTTTTGTTTGTTGACAAATGATTGACTGAGGACTGAGATGCTGCTATCTTTTCAGGTTCTGAAGAAATCCAGATGACAGACGCTACATTTTAAGACCCACTCTAACCTGAGAAATCTCTGAAAGAAGATCAGAGGAGAAAGAATGGGTTGACATGTGTGTACTAAAGAAGAGATATGAAAATGTTATGCCAAAGCTCTTCTTTGTAGTTTAAATATTACAAACCAAATTTTCATGCCATGCCTGTATATCAAAAGTTAGCAGCAGAGTTGTTGGAATATCTACAGGAAAGAGCAGTGGTGACTTTATGACTTAATGACTTTTGCATTAGAACGTATTTCAAAAATACTCTACATACTTTTTGCAATAGGTTTGTGCTATTTTCTGACAGTTATATTAAGGGTCATGCACATAATAATGCTGCAATACTTGTTCAAGACTTTCAAGAAAGTTCTGAGAGACCAGAACCGCTGGTCAATGTTTCAGCAAAGAGTAGAGCTGAGGTGCAGGAAAGGGGAGTGTTACTGCGGTTGTAAGTCATTTATGCCAATCACCTCTCACATGAGCATGGCTGAAGTAATTTGCACACTTAACTGGATAATAGTGCAACACCAGTGTTTGCAGTATTCACCCATTGTGATAGCAATCCCTACCCTGCCCAGCTGAAGTAACTCCATTTTAGCATGTAACTTGCCAGATATCTACAGACCGTTGCATGGGGAGAGGACGAAGGTCCTGTGAGAATGAAGAGAAGCCTGTAGGATGGTTGAACTCTCTGGATTCAGACAACATTAGCCATTCAAAGCACTTCAACTTCCCTTGGAAGGGTTTGGGGGGGTCAGAGTGTATCACTGGGAGCATTTGGTAAGGGAAAGTTAACAGAGCCCGGTTCTGATTGAATTTGTACAGGTAAATCTGGAGTGATGCCATTCAAGTCAATGTTATTGAATTAAGAACTTGTGCCTAATAATGTATCTCATGTACTGCAAAGAGGCAATGGCTTAATTTGGACTCTCATGAGTGGAGAAAATAGAAAAGTATATACAATGAGGCAATAAACCACGTTTATAAATAGCTTCAGTGCAGGACAGATAAATAACAGTTTTCCCCAAGCACTTGTCATGTGTTTATACACTTCTCATGTGTGACAGGGTAGCACTAGATGGCTATAGGAGAGTAATAGAAGGCAGATATATTAGCCCCAGGCTAAGTAGGTCCCTTTTCCCTGTGTAAGGTAACAGGGACGGTTCCAGAACAGTCAGGAACCTTCTGGAGACAATTAAGACAGGCTGATTAGAACACCTGCAGTCAATCAAGAAGCTGCTAGAGTCAATTAAGGCAGGCTAATCAGGGCACTTGGGTTTTAAAAAGGAGGTCACTTCAGTTTGTGGTGTGCATGTGAGGAGCTGGGAGCAAGAGGCGCTAGGAGCTGAGAGTGAGAATGCGGACTGTGGGAGAACAGAGGTGTACAAGCATTATCAGACACCAGGAGGAAGGTCCTGTGGTGAGGATAAGAAAGGTGTTGGGAGGAGGCCATGGAGAAGTAGCCCAGGGAGTTGTATCTGTCACACAGCTGTTCCAGGAGGCACTCTAGACAGCTGCATTCCACAGGTCCCTGGGCTGGAACCCGGAGTAGAGGGCGGGTCCGAATTCCCCCCAAATCCTCCCATCTCCTGGTCAGACACAGGAGGAGTCGACCTAGACTGTGAATTCAGAAAAACGGCCAAGCTGAGGGCTGCTGTGAAGCTCCAAGGTGAGCAAATCCGACAATAAGCGCAAGACCCACCAAGGTAGAGCAGGAACTTTGTCACACATGATACAATGGAACACACTCAGAAGTGGAGGGCCAGACAGAGTGTTTGTAGGAAAGTCACAATTGTAAAATCACACAGCGCTCAAGTAGGCTGTGGAACTCCCAGTTAGAAGATATCAATAGGGCCAAGAGTTTACCAGGATTCAAAGAGGGACTAGTTGTTTATATAGATAACCAGAAAATATAATTAGAATAGTGAGAATTGTTTCAAAAACTCTTTGATGAGCTCTAAGCCTTCCTGATTTGCACCACAAAATTTGTCTAATTAGTGGATGCAGGTTATTTCAAAGCTGCCTATTTAGGGTGTCTTCCACTTCCTCTGAAGTACCTGGAACTGGCCACTGAATACTACGCCAGATGGACTGTGGGTCTGATCCACTCTGGCAATGCCTTTCTTTCTATTTGATTTGTAAATCCAAAACTATGTTTTTTCTGATCTTCCTTAAGCTTCTGGGAGTCTCTAGACTTGCACTAAGAGCAGAAAGATGTCTCATTAAATATCATCTAGTCTCGTGTACTTTTTTCTTTTAGGAAGGAAAGTTCAGAAATCTTCGGACCTGCCCAGTACATTATGTCAGCTGTCAATGACACTAAATTCAACTCTGCATGTTCCTTCTCTCTGGGATACCTGGTCAAGAAGATGTCCATCTCTGGATCTCTATCCCCTTCTGCTTAATGTATGTTATTTCCATAGTAGGAAATTCAATCATTCTGTTCATTATAAAAACAGATCCAAGCCTCCACGAGCCCATGTATATTTTCCTTTCCATGTTGGCCATCACAGACCTTGGCTTATCGATATGCCCCATGCCGACAACACTGGGTTTATTCTTGCTTAACTCTAGAGAGATCAGCCTCAATGCCTGTTTTGCCCAGTTGTTCTTCATCCACTTGCTTGAATGCATTGAATCCCCAGTGCTCTTGCTGATGGCCTTTGACAGCTTCATCGTGATTTGTAACCCACTGAGATATGCTTCCATCTTAACCCTTCCAAGAATAGTCAAGATGGGACTGGTGAGTGTGCTAAGAGGGGTGGCTGTAATACTCCCACTCCCTATTCTCCTTCAACGGTTGCAATATTGTCGATCCAATGTCCTCTCCCATTGCAACTGCTTAAACCAGGATGTCATGAAGATGGCTTGTTCGGATATCAGAGTAAACAGCATCTATGGCTTGTCTGTTACACTCTTAATGGTGGGGCTGGACTCACTGCTCATCCTTCTCTCTTATGTGGTGATCCTCGCAGCAGTGCTGAGCATCATGTCCCATGCGGAGTGTCTTAGGGCCCTGAACACCTGCATCTCCCACCTCTGCGCCATCCTGCTCTTCTACACGCCAATGACCGGCCTCTCTTTGATACATAGATTCGGTGAGAGCTCTTCTCCCTTGCTTCAGATTCTCCTGAGCTATATCTACCTTCTCCTCCCGCCCCTGATGAACCCAATAGTGTACAGTATGAAAAGCAAACACCTTCGTGCAAGGATAATCAGGGTGTTCTTCAAGTGAAAAGTCAGTTCAAGATTTGACTCCAGCGCTGATGACATGGGAGACGAAAAATATGGGCCACCTATTCCATCCTGGACCCTTAAATCTGAGACGACATGAGCTACTTATCCAAAATAAATATTAAGTGAGCACTGTACACTTTGTATTCTGTGTCATAATTCAAATCAATATTTTTGAAAATGGAGAAAAAATGCAAAATATTTAATAGATGATAGTCTATTATTGTTTAGCAGTGCAATTAATTGTGAAATTAATCACAATTATTTTTAATCAAATGATTAAATCAATTGGAGAAAGCATGTGGGCCAGCGCGGCGCTGTTTCCTGCCCCCCACCACCACCAGCAGGATTTCCGGACCATGTGGCACAACCTGCCCGCCCACCCCAGCACCAGCAGTGGTCCCAGGCCATCCCCCTTCAGCACATGCGGTGCCCCCAGTCCACCACCCCTAGGGCACCCACAGCCCTCTGCCCAAATTTTACTTTGGGGTCACGGGCCATGAATTTTTGTTTATTGCGCGAGATCTGTCCATGACTTTTACAAAAATACCATGACTAAAACATAGCCTTGCTGATGGCTCATAAGCAAAGACAATGGACCGTGGAAGAGCTTAGCTGTCCTGTGAATGTTTTAGCCAGCCTATCAGTAATGGATGCTATGACTCAGCAGGGCATCCAAGGACATGGGAACAGATCCCATGACACTGAACTCCATTTTGGTACTTGTATTTTTCCACACACTGGGCTGGGAACTTGTCCTGAAACAAAGGGTCCCCGCTCTGTGGGAAAACTATGTAAGGGGGAGAGTGACATCATTTCTTGGACTCACTCCCCACACAAGCGACCTCCTTCAAACACCTGAGGAAGAAAGGCTGACCTGGTGGAAATGATGGTCCCAGGCTAAAAGGATTTCTTGCCTGCACATGGAGACTTGGTGGACTGCTTGTATCACCAGTCAGGGTGAGAAATTGATAATTTATATCCAATCGATCTAGTATGTTAGGCTTAGTTAGCATTTTTAATTATTTGACAGGTAATCTGCTTTGATCTGTTTGCTATCACTTATAATCATTTAAAATCCATCCTTTTGTAGTTAATATTTTTTTTGCTTTATCTTTACCAGCATGATTTGAGCAATGTGTCTGGCAAAAATCTCAGCTCTGTGTCCAAATGCTGTTGCATATCATTCCCACATCAATGGAAAAGTGATCTTTATTAATGAGCTTACACTGTACAGGCACCTGTGCAGTGCAAGAGGGTATTATTTTGGGTTTAGACTCCAGCAAGGTTGAAAGGCGGGGGAGCTTGGAAATTGGCTGTTGTCTCCTGCCTGACTTTGAGTGGCTTAGGTAAAGCACTCAGGCAGCTCATTTGGGTATGTGGCCCCACCTGCTGTCCTGCTGGGTGATAACAGAGATTGCAGAAGCTGGCCGTGTTACCAAGAAAGCAGTGTTAGATTGGCCAGACAAGTTGGAGGGTTAAGGTGCCCAGTGGTTCCCATTGCTCCCAGACTACATTCCCGGGGTGACAATCTGTCACAGCAGTCTGTGTTACTCATCTTCCTGGGTTCATCAGTAATCTCCATGGACTCCAGGGAGATCACCGATGAACCCAGGAAGATGAGTAACACATACTGCCTCCCCACTCACACTGGAAAATGCATGGTGCATAATAATAAGCAAAAAATTCCCTGGGCAAACCCTACAACCGGCGGCCAGCAGCCACAGCTGCACCAGGGCAGACTTAGCCCGTCCAGGTCAATTATATCTGGAAACCATGGTTCCCAACATTCTATGAGCTTTTTTTGACTTCTGCTGCACACTGAGTAGATTTTTACAGAGAACTATCCACAGTGACTCCATGATCTCTTTCCTGTGTGGTAACAGCTAATTTGGAAAGATCATTTCACAGGTATAATTGGGATTATGTTTTCCAATGCTCATTACTTTGCATTTATCTGCGCTGAATGTCATCTGCCATTTTGTTGTCCAATCACCGAGTTTTGTGGTATCCCTTTGTAACTCTTCGCAGTTTGTTCTAAAACCTCTGTGATGGGTTGTCAATCCTGGGTGCAGTCTAGGAACTGGTGGAACTGCTGAGGCCCTTAACACTTCAGCTGGGCTGGCCTCTCTCACACGGCTCTGCTGGTGACAGAGTCAGACTCTCCAGGCCCTGTTATCACCCAGCACGACAGCAGATGGCACCACAAGCCCAGCTGAGCTACCAGAATGCTTTACCTAAGCCACTGAAGGACAAATAGGAGACAATAGCCAATTTCCCAGCTCCTCAGCCTTACACCCTTTCTGGAGAATAAGCCCACAGTTATACCATCTTGTACTGCACAGGGATCTGTACCATGCAAACTCATTAATATAGGGGACTTTCACCTCAATGTGGGATATATACGGAACAGCCTTTGTTTACAAAGTTGACATTTTGGATCCCCAAGAGAAACTGGAGGTTTCTCATCTCCCTTTTACTTGTAACATGAACAAAGCTTTCACTGACTGAGCCTATGGCTGCACTCGGGGTATGGAATGATCTAAACCTCCCAACCAGTCCATGGCTGGGTTCTTGTGCCCATTAGTTACACTAACCAGACTTCCCATCTCTGTACAGACCCCTGCACCCTGTACAATGCTCCTTAGGCAGATCCTGTGGGCAGTGGCTACTGTGGCAGGCCCTGGTAGAACATCTCCAATGAATCTGCGCTACCAGCGGCCTGGAGAGCGTCCTAGAGCAGTTGTGGAGGCCCAGAGATCATGGGTAGGCCGATCTGGAAGTGGATCACTGAGATCTGTGCATAACTTTGGATCCTGGGTCCCTCTTTTCGTTCCTCAGGGAGAAGGGAAGGGACCTTTCCTATTTGAACGATCTGAGGGATATTTCCATGTCGGGAGCCTTGTGGAATTTCCTTTCCCTGGCCTGCACCCTGGGTTTGTAATGTAGGAAAGGGGGCTGCAGAGGACGAATCTGTTGCTACATTATTATTATTATTATTATTATTATTTATTTATTTATTTATTTATTTATTTATTTTATTTCATTATAATTTATTTTATTTCATGTCAGCAGGATCATATCTGTGATAGCATCATTGTTAACACGCAGCCACCCCCAAGGTATCCATGTGACAAATCAGAAACATACAAACTGTGATGAAAACCCTGTATTCCAGGAATAGATTCTCTCACAGGGCTGGCACTGCAGTCCAGTTGGGTAGGATCAACACGCATCCCCTGTGATTTGGCCTCCTGCAGTTTTCCATTTGCCGTGACGGGGGTTAAAGCTGGTGCACACGAAGCCAAGCAGCTGAGGTTCCCTGATGGCCAAGTGGACCTCAAGGGAATGTGCAGGCATGCTTCATAAAGGCAGCTGCCTCTCTCTTTGAACAGAGACTGCCCGCTGCGCATGCAATCTCTTCTATGACTCCTTGTCCTTTAGGGTGAAGACCTCTGGTGTCAGCGGCCCCCCTTCTAGCAGGAATTGGGTACGTTGGAAGGTTTCAGTATCTTTAAAATGCGAAGTGAAGGGGAAAGGCTGCAAGCTGTTTCCATTTGTGGATATGCTTTGCAGTAGCAGAGGACTCAGCTGGGCTGTGGGGGTGACTCACTGACAGGGCTGAAGAGGAAAGGCAGCGCTAGGTAGCTTGGGAACCCCACCGCTACATCTGTCCATGGACCTCAGTGGGTTGTTCAAGCTACACAGAAATCTGAGATTCAAAATGAGCTTGGAGTGTTAAAACCCCAAAACCCTGAGTCAGGACTTCTCAAGGGGTCCCATTTCTAGAGGTGCTGTGTGCTCTGGGCCCAATCCTGCTGGGGGCTGAGCGCGAGGAGACCACACAGAATATCAGTGACTACTTCCCCAGTTGCCTCAGGTTTATTTGCTGCTGGAAATTTAAGCAGCAAATGCATTTTCAAAGGATTTATTCTCCAGGTTAATTGTGAACACAGGAATTCAGAGCTGATTGCTCTGCGGTGAAAGGTCTGATGAGGAATATTTCTATTTCCTGACTGGCTGAGGGTGCTAGAATCTCTCTCATGTAGATAACCCTCAGAGTTACCGGGCTACTGGCATCTCTTCCCGCTCTCTGATCTCTGAGTGCCACATGTCGGGCCTCATACCCTGCCTTCTCATGGGATCGCATTCCACGATACTCCCACCCTCAGACTGGACCCTATGGCACAGCACACTGAGGGTTGACTGGGCTGGCCCTGCAGGTCCGAGTGGTTCAGCACCTGTGGTTCTTCCCTCTGGGAGACCGTGAGTAGTGGTGAGATGAGTGACCAGCCAGCCTTCTTCAACCAAAGTGCTGTTTAATGTGAACTGTAGGAATAAAGCATAACATGGGAAAATAAGAGGATTTTCAAAAACCAGTCTGTACGCGTCTGACCCCAAATCCTACCACTCTAACGGGGAGCCAGGCAGGCTGAGGGTCTTCAAACTTCCCCAGTGGTCTCTGAGCCTGTCATTCTGAAAAATTTCTCACCAACACTTGCCCCACCTCTCTACAGACTTCCAGCACTGACAAAACAAGCTGGGTCACGTGGCTGGAGCCCGGAAATAGGCTCTTCCCAGCCTGTAGCTCCAGTGTTGTCTCTCAACCTCCCTGAAGTGCTCGCTGAGAAATGGCTTTTCTTCAGCTGTTGCTTCCCTTCCTTCGTGTTTTGCAGCAGCCTGCTATTACATTAAGAAGAGCCATACTGGTTTCACCCAGTATTGCCATAGCATAAACACCCCAGTAGTTAACCCAAGATAGCTATAAGCAAACATCCCCAGAACTAGGTTTAACCTAGGCATTAATTATGGCATCTCAGCTCCACGCCTGTGCCAATGCCATTTACAGGTGCTATGGATTTTAGGAATACAGGACAGAGACACTCAGAGACAGAGAGAAGGAGAGAGAGAGAGAACGAGAGCAATAGACTACTTTCCTGTGTGAAATGAAGTTCCGTTTCCATGAATACTCACACATTTGACTTGGAACTCCACTTTCTA